CGGGCTGCTCATTCCTCGATTCCAAGCTTACTTTGTGGTTTTATGTATGTCGGGTTTTGCACTTTAATTCCCATGGCCCCGCAATGCATATTCACAGCGAGTGCGCGTGTGCCTTGTTCCCTTACAACTTCAGCTCGGCAGATGTCCGGATCAATGGATGGCTCACTTGGGGATATTAGTAAATGCGTCCTCTTGCCGCCAGTTCTTTTCTGTGCGTTTCAGCGGCCTTTACATGACTCATTTTGTTTAGCGTTACACCATCCGTGGGTTGATGTGGGGTTCTCAATTCAGCCCCCCTGCTATAAAAAAAAGTGGGGCCTGTTTTTACCCCCCCCCCCCCCCCCCGTCCGTTATATGTATGCGAGCTGAGGAGGTCTGAGCAGCTTGGACTGCTCGAAGGGCGAGGTCGACATCCAGGAGGACGGGCACTTTTGTCCCCCCAGTAGTGCCCTTTTACCATTTCTTTTGAAGGGGAGGTTCCCCTAATAAAATAGACTACAGAAAAATGTGGGTACCCTTAGTCTAGCCTCTCTACTGGAGGACCTAGTTGTGTAAACTGGTCGACAAGTTCAGATTTTGGCCAAGATCGGAGGCATTTTGGGAGACCGGGAAAACCCTGCGAGTCTGCATGTGGAACGTGTTGGGCCTCTTGGAGTGACTGACATTGCCTTAGGTCCAAAGGGTTTCGTTGGACACAGAGTTCCTTCGGCACAGTTGCTTTCGGCTGTGAGGGAACCCACCCGTGCGTTCCCCTGTGCGCCCATTTGATTTCATGCGGGCGGCTCTCTTTTTTTTTCAATTGGTGCCCCTTTCTTGGTGACAAAGGGAAACCAAAAGCAAAACCAGAGTTTTGAGGAGGTCCGATGTCGTAAGAAGAGGCACAGCCGTGTAGGACTGTAGGCAACAAGTTTCCCCCGTTTTTTCGGGGGCAAAATTCAGGGGGACGAGCTGTACTCAGTGCCCCGAGCTCAGCTAGCCCGCAGGCGAGGGGCCCAGGGTGTCTGCAGTCCACGATCAAACTGGGGATGAACGCTCAACATGTGCTGCAGTCCGCGGTCAATTTGGGAGGACCCACGCCTTGTAACAAAGGAAGCTCCGGACTTCCTCAGCTTCTTTTGCCCATGAGCAATCGCAGATTTTGACTCATCCTGCTCCTACGTGCATCCGAGGTCCACTTTGCGCGAGGCGCCGCAAGGCCACAGCGGGGGATCTCAGACCGCAACAAGTGCGACACGAAAGCGTGAGGAGAGCGAGCGAGCGAGCCCGTACAGGTCCTGGGGGTTGATGAAGTGGGTACTGGTCAATATTCAGCCCGCAGGGGACCGTCGGTTCTAGTCCATGTTTCTATTTGCCAGGGTTCGACTTTTGGGGTTACCCTATTTTCGACCCAGAGGCAAGTGAAGCGGAAGAGATCAGCAGCTCTTCTCGGATGTCCCAAAAATGTGTCGGGCCACCGCTTGCGCGGACCCCAAAGCCCGCAGCCCGGGCTTCCGGGTTTTGAGTGCCGCAAGGCCTGAGAGATGTGGTTGATTCGCCCAAGGAGGGGGGGACTCCTGGTAAGTCTGCTTGGCAGGGGTTACTAAACATGGAAGCTTGCAGCCCGCATTTCCTGGTTGCGTTGTGTGTGTCTTTTGTGAGCAGGTCTGCGCGTTGCGGAGAATGAGCCGTGCCCAGTTGTCTCCAGTTGCACAGAGATCTATCAATCTATTTCTCTCGAACCGCCAAAAGTAGTAACACACATGGGATCTGCTAGCAAAATGCATTATTTTGAAGGAGACATCAAGTGACTGGAAAGTTCCATCGAAACATCGCCTTCCATGTTCGTTGACCTCAAAAGGCCCGTCCACAATTTCTCCAAGTTCCAGGCGCATACACATTCTCAAGCAGTGTGAGGTGGCGAACTTTGAACATTCAAAGGGGGACCATATATGATGTCTTTTGTTCGATTTCTATATCGATGGGGCCATTTTGAAATGTGTTCTTTCGGGGTGATGGTTAAAGGGGGCACATAGCAAATCCTGTTCAAAACCATTTCCTGCAATTGCTGGTGCATACAAAGTTACGGCGTTGACTAAGCGGAAGCCACAGCCTCTCAGAGAGAAACGAGTTGCAAACATGGGTGCTTCCCTGCGCCTCATGTCTCATTCGAGGCACACAGCTGAACCGCGAAATGTTTCAAAAAGCGAATACGATTGCGAGATTCTGATGGCTCTACCTGGCCTTTGTTTACAGGACACCCGTGTGGTTGTCTGTTTGGTGTCCCAGGGCGGATTTGTGTTCGGATCTCATGCATTTGCTGGGTGTTCTCACGTTTGAAGCACAATCGACCTGAACAGTTATATATATATATATATATATTCCCCGGCATGCGTGTCAGACCAAAAACAGGCTGCTTACATTGCATGGTTCACCCAGTTATGAAGATGACAGGTTATCGCTGAGTATTCCTGGATGTGCAAGGTGTGTTGGTTAAGGCATGTTCGGCACATGTTCCTGTGATTGTGATTTAGGGGCTCTAAAATGCTTCCCCCCAATATCTCGTGGTTTGCCAGTTTGGTGTGTGGGCAAGTAGGTCTAAGGTCGGGGATTGAGCTGTTCATGCACGCTTCGCGAAGTGTATCGATATACCAATGTGACAACGCTGATATTTGTAGAGTATATCTGCAGTTTAATCCACCACACTACAAGTTTAGATGCGCATATAGTTGTACACACGTTTACGCATGTACATGTGTCGCTACATATATATATATATACTATATATATATACATATAATATGTATGCACACATGCGTGAATGTATGGTTCACTGCGAGTCTGGGTTTCTCTGAGGCCTCTCAGTATCGATGCCCAAGGGCACACCACTGAGCTTCGATCACCTCTCGCAGGCACCTTGCGCGATGGTTTGGGAACGCCCTTGGGCAAGAGCAATAGATCCTAAAATGCGATGCCCTCTTTTCGGGTGGTTTTGCAAGGGAATTGGGTGGTCGTCCAACTATGTTTAGCGTTCCCTACTTGAGGGCGTTCATATCTTATCAACCATCCTCAAAATGGAATCTTGCTCCTCTGTTCCCTTTCAAGACGAGGCCATTGCCACTATATATTTACTGCAATCAAGTAGTAAACCCCGTAACCCAGAACCATCCGCAACCAGTAACGCGCATCTAAGGATTTGTAGGGCACGGTTTCACGACTACATAGCAGTGCCGCCCTAAGAAAAATGGCAATTTTGGCAAGGACTTGCAAGGGAGAAGCCCTGCTCAACATCACTTAGCTTATGCCATCCTTTGTGCACATTCGAGCACTGCGGACTGGTTTTGGATCGTTTGTTCCTGAAGCAGATACCTGATTTATGCCAGTCAAATGCTCATGCATTCTTTTTTTTGTGGTGGTTGCTCGATTATTTCCGGTACTCAGTGTGCAGCATACTCTATGTCGTGCACTTCTTAAGCTTTGGCCTCCTGCGCCCCTGGTGGAATCCAACTGCGCGGCGGGGGGGGGGTGTTTAATCGACATGCTTCTGGGGCTGAATTGTGTTCCTTACTTCGCTTGGCACCTTTGGATGGTTTGTCCCTGTTGCGCACTGCTCGATAACAGCTGCTCAGTTGGCCAAGACGCCTCCAAAGAATCTTGCATGGCCTGCGTTTAGGCCCATGCCCCATGCCGCTTTGTTCGCAATGTCGCTGACGTATCAGCCAGTTGCTTGCAAGTTGGTAGTTGCACAACCTTTCTGTGCTACCTTATCAAGCTAAAGCTGACAGTGTGCTTCTAGAAAAACACATTACCACGGTGGCTAGGTTGTGGGTTGTGCTCGGATGTATCACTCAAGCAACTTAGTCATCGCCGACAGTTCAAACAGTTCATAAGAACGGGGGCTTTGTTTGGCGCCGGCGGCGTATTCAGTTGGGGTGTGAGAACTTGGCTTCAGACCAAATGTAGCAGATGCTGCTTGTTTCAACAGAATAGCAGCAACACTTGCCTTGTCAAGCCAGTGCCTGACACACTGTGTTCATTTGCCTGAAGTGCCGACTTGGTAATCTGCAACGTTTCGAATCCCAACACACAAGTATATATATACATATATTTGCCTCCGCTTGGAATCGAAAAGGGCTGCTTTGGCCCTCGCTCTGTTGCATCGCTGGCTTGGCCAGGTGGGCTGGCCACACATGTTGCGCTGCGTCACAAAAACGCCCCAGGTTGCGAATTCGCAAATTCGGGGCAGGGCTTGGCATTGCGGCGAATTCGGGGGGGGGTCGATGTTCTGATTCTCGGCTATATCTAGGGAGTCTCCATGACAAAATGGTCGGGATGGCAAACATGGGGATTGGCTTTTGGCATCATGAGCTTCCATTTGGAGCCCCTCTTGTGGTATTGTGCTGCCCAAAACCAGTCAAGATCTTGAAAGATGAGCCTCTTTCCAACCTGGAAGTGGACGATCGGAGGTTCCCCAAGAGGAAAGTAGGCTTCCAACACCCTCCTGTCAGTTTCCATGATTGTTGGAAGGGCGGCCTTTTTCTGCCATGTCCCTGGTTGGCAAGTGCAAGGCACCTGGTGACAGAGTGTCCCTGCGAAATTACTTAATCCAAGGCTGCTGGTGTGTGAACACCCTCATTGCCTCTTCAAAGTTTGCCCACCTGGGCAAGCAGGTTGCCTGGGCCAACAGGGGCACGTCAGCCGGTTCTTGGCAATGCACTTTGGCCCCAGCAGAGCAGCGCGAGGGTGCCGCAAAGCAAGGCACTACCGCGCCATGCCATTGTCCACTCTTCCTAGGCACATTTATTTTGAAAGAATTGCAAGCCCCAGATCCAACGCATTGGACAGCAATGCATCCCTCTGAGAGCCTCCTTTGATCTCTTTCGAACGCCGAGACACCTACAAAGACCAGCGCTCACCAGAAAAGAATGGCACCGTCCAAAAGCGTGTCAAACCACTTATGGAAAATCCGCGCTTGCCAATGAATCATTTGGGTTTTTGTGGCCGAAAGTAGGGGAATTGGGGACGGCCCTTTGGCTTTTCCTTCGTTTCGCGATCGCCCACCTTTCTGTGGAACTCGCAATGCAAGCAGCGGCTAGCGCTCTGCGGAGTCTTCGGGAGAAGGCAGGGCCGCGGAGTCGGCGAGCGTTTGGGTAATATTGGGGACACGAGGGGAGGTCCAATTGCTCACTTGATTGAAGCCGACCTTTTTTTTCCATGGTCTAGTTTCAGTCATGGCCCCAAAAGGTGAACCTTTGGGCAAGTTCCAATTGACTTTAAGTCCGAAGTTCGTGCTACAGATGTTACGGATTTGCCGGTGTCTCCAATGGCCAATGCTGGTTTATATGCGCGAGCGCATTTGTGCTGAGATAAGATGCTGCATCTGGCTTAGCCCACAGGTTGCCTGAATTGTCGACGGTAGTGCAGGACGGCCCCTCCATCTTTGACGGCTAAGTTATATATTTGGGGAGAGAGCTGAATCCATGAACAGCCAGTCTATTTCACTTGACCGCATGGCTGACGACATCATGATGTTTTCTGGCGGTGCGGCGCCGCAAAGAAATGTGAGTGCACGCAACACCAGTCTGGCCAGGGCTCAAACATCTACGGAACTGGGTTGCAACCCTCACAGTGAGAGGTGTCCCTTCGGGTTCTCGAAACACGCCAAGAATGGCATTCCCCCCCAAGGCCAACAATGCTACCCCAGTCCCCTCCCCCCAAAGACAGAAGCGCGGAACCTAGAAGGAACTCCAAGGCCAACTCTCTCGATCCATATGTTTGGCATGCCCACCAAACCCTAGTTGTTCAGCGGCACCCATCTCTTGTCTGGCTTCAAAAAATGGATCACCCCAAAAACCAGCAAAGAGAAGAGGTTCGCTTCACCCAAAAAACAGCTAAGAGATGTTTCCAGGCAAGACAAGCAGTTCCAGGTCTTCCGTCCAACAGAAACGGCCCCCGGCTACGACCAGCCCAACAAGCGGCCAGGGCGCGCCGGGAAGGGACGAGCCAACTGTGGCGCTGGGGTGGGAGGACCAAGAGCTCCACCAAAGGCTGCTGCAGGATGTGGTGGTCTGTGAGGCCGGAAATCCCCACAGAAAAGGCCTAAGGGGGGGATCTCCCGAACGGCTACTAGGGCAACCCTAAAATCTTTTGGTTCCTTTCGGTTTCCTCTTGGTTTCCTCTTTTTTTGTCCAAACGCCTGTCGGATTTTGGATGTGAATCCCTGGGAACCTTCAATCAAGGGCGGGGGGGGGACAATTTTTGCGGCTGAATCCTAAGGAAAAGCCCATTCGAGAATCGAGTTCATGGAAAATAGGGTGTCACTTTCTGTGCCAAGGGAATCTTCACGGAAAGGAATCATTTTCAGGATGGGAACACAGGATCAAACAGAGCCCTGGTTGATTTTGTTTGCAGCATGTACGGTCCTTTGGCGGAAGCCCCGACAAAATCAGGCAGGTGAATTCCGGGGTTGGTATTGGCACCTTCAAGGCATTGAAGGGCAAAGTCTACGGAACCATTTCCCATTTGTATAGAGATGTGAAGATGCAGAAGCACAGACTGGGTCGGCCATGCACAATGGCCTCTGTAAAATGTGATCAGTGATAAGCACATGTACGTGAAAAACGGGCCATTGTATCGGGAACCTAGTTGATTCCAGAAAGCCCTATTGATTTGTGGTGAGTGCAGCTTTCGAGAGGATCCATCGCTTTCTGGGGGCTCCATATCATAATTTATCAGGGTATCATAAGCTTGGGAATAGGGTGTCAAACACCTGGTTGGACCTCTTTTGGATAGCTCTCAAGGGAAAACACAAAAAAATACAAAGATCCTTTGGCGCTTGCCAAAATCCTGCAGAGGCCTCCAAATTCCCAGCGGTTCATGTTGCGCGAGTTTCCTGATGGGGGATGTTGAAAGGGGCACATGGGTAACCTTTTCTGCCAGAACAAGCAAAGACTGGGGAAGAGCAGGGAGAAGGGTGTTTTTGATCGGAAGTCCGGGAAGATGTGAGCGCTGAGCAACTAGGAAGTCTGCTCTTCTGCTTGTTGATATAACCAATCTGAAACGAAGCATGAGGAAACTTGCTGGTGCTCAGGGAATGTGGGAATGAACCCAGGCTTTTGTCAGGAAACCATCCGCTGGATGGTTTTTCTGTTGGTCATTCCAATTCTCATTCAACGCTTATCGCACCAGCCTGGAAGACTTTTCCGTTGCCTTGGCACTTCTGCCAGCCTTCCTTGTTCGTGGGGAGCCCGAGTAGGCTGTGCTGTTCGGTGATCCCCGCAGGGCCTCACGCAGTTCGCCAAGGACTTTGTGAGGTGTCTCAGCCGCCCGGCGAGCATCCGGTCGAAAAGACGGGAACAAATCGGATGACTTGCGGTGATGCAAACCATGCAAAAAAGAACAGAGAAAACAAAAAACAGAATTCCATGGCCATTGGCATTCCATGATTCGATGTGCTGGCTTTTGATGTCGTGTAGAATATCCACTTTGTCACTGATGTTCTGCATACCACTTTGTCACAAGGCTTCCAGACCAGGAAAAAAAAATGCGAGGCATGGTTCTCGTTTTTGATGCATCCATTCCGTTTATGAAAACAAGGTGCTCGCCTGTATCACCCTTTGCATGCCAAATGGATGACTAGCCAGGTCGCCTAAAGCCACAGCCAGGTCACTCATTGGTTTGTTTTATGTTAGTTTTTATTCGTTGCCCAACTTTGGTTTTGCTGTTTGTGCTCATTTGTATGTTGGTTTGTTTGTTTGTGTTTGTGGGATACATCGGAATTTGAAAGCTCTGTGTCAAACTGCGCCATCAATTGAACCAAGCAGCGTGACTCACATATCTCCCAAGCGCAAGAGCTGCGAGCCTGTGGTGTTTGAAGGACACCTTAAACTCAGATCTTGGACCTGAGCCCAGAAAGCGAGACTTCTCCACCGAACTCGGAGTTAACAGGAACAGCTTGCTGTCCAAGGACTTCGAACTCCAAACGCTGTGTGTTTCGACCCGCAAAAAGAAAATGTGGGTGGTGAAACATATCCAAAAGGCGTTTCCTTGAAAAACCATACGCTGGCAGCCCGAATTTCGCGATGCCAAGAACCTCACCTGGCGCCTTACGAGTGAGGTGGGCACCTGGAGCTGGTGGATCAGTTGCTGGCAGTGCTGCGGGCCATGGACGGCGGCCTGGAGGCGGGCCGTGGTCGCGTTCGGCGCGCGTTCGGTGCGCGTTCGGTGCAACAAGTAGACGGAATGACATAGGGAGACCCGGGGCTTGGGGAATGAGCCGGCTTTGTGGATTCACTTATTTTAAAGGAGACCATAGGGGAAGGTTTATAAGATGAACCGGTTTTGGGGATTCTTGCAAAAAGGAAACCACATCGGGGATTGGGATGGTTTATAGGGCTTATTCCCTCATTCCATTTCTCAGGACCCCTGCTAGAACCAGCACCATTAGCATGGAGCCCAAAAGAGAAAGAGTCCATTTCCCAAAAGGAGATTCGAAACTAATCTGGGAAGAAGTCCCCAAATTCCGAATAGCTTTCGACCCATTCCCACTGCAGGCTGGTTGCTGTGTCCAAATCCCAAACCCGCGCGAGTTGCGTGTGGTTGTTTTCATGGCCCACTTGGAACAGGGAATTCAGTCCAATCCTTGTTGGTGTTAAACCAAATATATTTATTCTAATATATATATATATATGTATATATATATACATTTGGACCAATCCTTAGGTCTCAAACCAACTACCCTCCCAGCCAACACGCGCGCAAAGTCGTCGGTGTTGAGGGTTGTCCGAGTCTGAAGTCACTCAGGCCGCTCAACGTGAGGCAGAGGCGCAAGGGCCTGCGAACATGTTTGACAGACTGGGAGCGGTTTTTCTCAGGGGACCCCCAAAATAGCGGTGTTCCTTTTGGAATTCCTGTACAGCCACAAAAAGGGGGCACCCTCAAGAAAAGACCCCCAGATGGCTGCCAGATGGCAACCAACTATGGCGCTCCCTTTTTCATCGGCGGCGCGAATTGTCAGGGTCCCAAAAGGTTCCCGATGTTTGACACACATTGACGTGAATGTGATCTTCAAACTGCGGCACGTTTGGAATGAAAATCGCTACCTTGGCCGTGGCGGTTCTTTTCGTTGCATGGACCTCTGAAAGAAGGGGAGCAGCAACTGGCCCGGTGTCTCGCGTCCGGCGTTCACCTGGCAATGTGTCATTGAAACGGCACAACCGCGGAATGCCTGTTTTCGTTTGCTTGTTGTCGCAACCATCCCAAGTTTGACGGAGCGTTCAATCTTCATATGTACTGACTTCAATGTAGCCCAATGGGTCCTCTACGAGCACGTCTCCATCCCAACCTAAGTCCAGATTCCAGATGTATGTGCTGTCATATTCTCCTGGTTGGTCACCAGTATTGCATAAATACACACTTTGCAACCGCACGTATCAGACCGGCCTTTTTTCAATCTTGACCATGCTACCTGTGTCCGCTGCTGACCATAGCAATGTGAACGAGAGCCAATGCCCCGAAGCCTGGGATTCTCGGCGCGACTGGGCGAGTCCACTCCCTGCCCAGCTTCTGGCTTTGGATTTTCATGGCGCAAGTAGACATGGCTGCAAGCTACGGTGAAACCTAAAGCAACCAGTTGCTTTGGTTCAATGCCCGGAGGAGCAGCTCAAGTATATACGATATGGCAACCTCTTGTGAGTCGGCGTGATGGAAGCCTGCGCAGCAGTTCAGCTGAGAGGACTTGACGTCGGTCGTTTGGCTGGGGCCTTGTGGGAACACCCCAAGGTTGGTAATGAAAGAGCCCCCTTGATGTGCACCCTGCATGTCCCCCGGGTATCCGTTTCGTGGGTCCGCTACGTCATGCGTTGAGCGACGTGGCAGGCGCAGGTGTGGGCGCTGGCAACAGGCGTCAAGGCCGGGCCGCCGCTTTGTTAGGGTCTTTCTTGGGTGGCTCGGCTGGTGTTTTTTTTTCAGTGGGTAGCGTTTTGGGGGTTGATTTAAAAGGAAACCAAAAGGAACACCCTTAAGCGTCAGTTTGAGAGGTCCGGCAAAAATACAGACACACACACATTTGAAATTTGTTAGCTGTGGACAAGCGGGGTTTGCGATTTTCTACTGTGGGCTATTGGCATTTAGGATTCGGTACTGAACAAGAACTCTCTTCGTGTCCATGCGAGCGAGGTGGGAGCCAGCCAAAGTTCTTGCTGGGATTGAGTCAAAGCTACTCGGTTTTGTTTGGGTTCTGAATCCTTTCAGAGGCATAACTGAGTCCCACAAGAGGTCACATTTTGCGACAGCCCGCCTTGAGTCGGATTAGGTTGGAGAATGTTGCGCTGCAATTGAGGCACCCGGGCTGGGGAGGTGCTGCAATGCTTCACGTTCCACGCGTCTCATCCTTGATCAGTTGAATCAGACTTTGCTCTGAGCTGTGCAAAAACAATCCGCCACATCCTCCCCGGACTTCACAAAGTTGGTCCCCAGGTCCCTATAGGGCTTAATTCGGAGCCACTGTGCGCTTCTTCGGCCTCTCACGTTTGGAGCCCGATTCCACAGGCCACAGCGCCGCGGGTGGCGACGGAGGTGAAGAGGCAGATGACCCAGCTTCAGGCCATCGCGTTCGCCAAAGTCAGATCCCCGCCAGGTGGGCTTGCTAAAGCGTGTCTACTTCGGGCCGGAATGAAGTGCCCAAACGGTGTAATCGTCTCTTGGCCGAGCATTGAGCACATGACATGAGCACTTGATGGGTTTGAGGGTTCGCGGCTCGGCAGAAGAGTCAGACTGCTGCAGAGCTTGCGGCAGCCAAGCTGCATGGTGGATTTCCATTCTGGGCCTGCTGGTCCAAGGAAACCGTTTTGCTTTTGGTCAAAGGCAGAGGCTTCAAACCAATTTCCTACTTGATTTTGTTCAGTGAAAAGTTTGTGCAATTTGGGGGAAGCCCCGAAGATTGTTTGCTTTCGGTTCACCAAGCCAAGGTGCAAGAGGTACCCAAAGACTCCCACGTGTGCCTGGGGGGTTCCTAAAACCCTCTTTGCTTCGCCAGCACATCCGCAGCTCCACGGAGAAGGCGGGGCATCGAACAAGCGGCGCGCAAAAGCGCCCGTTTTGCCGAATCCCATTTTGAGACGCCGCCATGTCCCAGGGCGCTTGGCAGCTACTATCCTTCTGGCTCAAGAGGCAGCCCACGCTGGGGCAAATGAAGTCGCGACCTTTTTTTGGTGCGATAGGACGGGTCCTTTTGATCATATTTCATTTGGGTCCAAACTTTCTGTTGGTGAATGATTGCTTGGGGGGTAAGGCATAGTGGTTCATGTTGACAGCAATTCAATGGACTACCTGGGACCTATGAAGAGATCGCCATGGCCCAGTGGAAGCGTCGCCAGATCCAAAACGGGTCCATGTTTGAGATGTTCCAATGTGGGTTAAATGCCGAATGGAGGTTGGCCCGAGCGTGGCCGGCTTTCAGGGGGGTTGGAAAGTGAGCCACAAATGGACGGCCATTACAGTACCTCAGTCAGCCAAGGAGGAATGCTTCCTTCGCCAGGTCTTCGATCTTTTGGAGCAGAAGCGAAGCGCCCTACAAGAGAGGCTGGAAAGTGCACAACACACGAAGCGATGTGTGGTCCGAGTGAGCAATCACAAGGGGTGAAGTTTAGGGGAAGTTCTCACCGGCGCTTCCGCTGTTTCCATCGTTACATGGTTGAAAGTGGACTGTGTTATTGTCTGCCTGTGATTGCGGCTCGAGTGCGAATTGCTTTATGAGCCGCCATGCGCTTGCTTTGATGGCACATAGTGGCACGTGTTTGCCCACTGCAAGATGCAGTTTGGCAATGTGCTTGAATGAGCCAATGACTGAAGGGGCGCCAGAATAGCAACGAGCTATTGGCAGCACTCTGTTCAACTTCGTACATAAGGCACCGGAACATTACATGTTGCCCAATCGGGGTTGGAATTGGTTTGGCACACATATATGCAAATAGGGACGACACAACATGATGAACCTCAAAAGTCGGCAACCCGGACTGGTCGCTCCTCCGGAGCTGGACTTGCAACAGGGACGGCATTCTTTGGTATTTGTGGGAAGGTGGGGGAAACACGCAAGCCTCTGGATAGAAAGCTCAGGCAGATTGGGCACTGGCTTGACATCAACAAGTATGTTAAAGGGTTCATGCCCGTATGGAAAATTGGATGGGCAGTCGAACCCATGAGGGTTTGCAACTGTACCTGAACGAAATGAGGCCAAGGGTTTGTATTTCACCCTCATTCGGGTTGTTGTTAGACAACATTTGGAATTTCGGACCAATTTGGGTCATGTTTTCAGGGTGTGAAACTAACACTCGCGCAAACCTGGCCAAGAGACAGCTCTCCCTCACTCTCACAAAGCACTGCTTTGAGGCCTCGCACGATTGGAACAGGAAGAGACGATTCAAGAGACTGGGGTCGTTATTTTGACGGTTTTTGGGGGTTGTCAAGTCAGTAAATGGGGTTGTTTCCCTTTAACCCACCACTTAGGGGGTGACTTTGATCATGGTAAAATAATGAGGCCAATAAGAGGAGCAGAGGTCCTGCCGTCCATGTTTACTGCTTCGGCTTGCTTCGCACGGCTCGCGCGAGTGCAAGTCTCGCAGGGAGCACTACCGGCTGAAGGTGGATTCTTTGCGGTAGCTTGGCGACACGTGCGTGTTGGACGTACAAGGGAGGTGAAGCGTGGGCATGCGCTTTGTCTCGAACGAGCTGTCGTTTTTGACTTTGCCTCTGTTAAGCATCCCCAACATGGCCCCCACCTTTTCGCGGTCAGAACTCAAGCGTCATGTGTGTGGAATCCTTCCCGAAAAGGTTATTCCAACTTGCTTTTTTCTTTGAGCATGAATCAGTCAAAGCAAGCCCCCTCCAAAGGGACATTGTCATGACTGATACATATTTGATTTTCAAGGGCGCCAAGTATACAAAAACCATGCTTTTCTCACAACAGGAGAAGCCCCCAAAACTGCGGTTTTCCCTTTGATTCCCATTTAAACCAAAAAGGGGACAAATACAAGAATGGGCTCGGCCATCCAGAAAGAGCCTTGAGATTTTTGACCGAAAAGGCTACAAGCTGTTGAACACTCATGGACTCCCCGCCAACAAATCACTTACTCTCCTGAAACTTAGTATGGGGCTCCGGGGAAGTTTCAGCCAAAGGCCCTGGCTTTACCTTGTCAAACGGTTCACCTGACGAGAAAGCCGACCAACCAGAAAGCCGATCACCCAGGAGGGAAACACAGTTGGTATCTATGTGTTTGTGCGGGGTTTTGCCCGAACTTGAGGTGCCATTTGCAAAGAAAAAACGGGCCCAGGTGAGCCAAACTTATTTATTTGACCTTACTTCCAAAACTCGCAGAAACCAGCTATTTGCGCAGGGTGTCCATGAAATCCTTGACCTTCCCAACTCATAGGTTCCTTGTTTCCAGTGACTTACTCGCTCAGATTGCCATGTTGCGCTGATCGCGTATTCTGACGTAGAAGCCAGCGGCGGCTTAGGGCGCAAGAGTAACTCGTTCGGTTCGGGGCCTTTTGGTCACGGTTCATGAGCGAAAGCCCACAGATTAGGGGACAGAGGGGCTTGATTCCCACGAGTCAGACTTGAATGCCTCAGGGCCAACAGGAACGCCACCGCTTTTTGGTGGGTCCTTTGGAGGTCTTTGTTGTCACCTAAGGAAGGAGTTCACGGAAAGGGAGCGGCAGGGCAAGGGCAACTCCAGGGAACAGCTCCACAAGCTGCCGCGGCCCCGGAGCCATGTGGCCACCTCAGGGCTTTGCCGCCGTTGGGTTTCTGGGTGGCTCAACCAGGCATCCGGTTCCTTAGGCTCTCAGGTTTTTAGGTTTTTAGGTTTTTGGTTGGTTGAGTCGGGGGGGTTTCCCATGTAAGCCAGGGGATCTGAGCACAGCTTGGGTGAAAATCGGCAGTTTAAGCCACTGAAAGTTGAACTTGTAGGGGATCTGAGGACAGCGCAGCTTGAAAATCGGCAGCTTTTTCCTGATTTGTGTGGCTTGAGGGCCTAGCGGAGTGAAAGATGGAATACCCCGCAGTTGGATGTCTTGATTCTTCTGCCCAGCAGGCGAAATGTGCCATGCACCAACTCACCCTGCATGGCTGATGCCTTTTTGGATCTTTTTCGAGGTTACATGGCAGCCTGTTTGGACCCCTTTCCCCATTGGAGAAACGGTGGACAAAGACAACACCCAAAGGGTAGGAGTTTGCAAGCACGTCTGACTTTGGAAGGATCCATGGCTATGCTTTTTTCGGGGTTGCCCCGGAACTGCTACCTTAGATTAGAGACTCCAACCACTCAAAAAAACCCTGGAGATGGTTTTGGGCTAGCGTCGTTTGGCCAAACAAGGCCGCGTCAGCCTTAGCTATTGTGTGTTGGCTCTCTAGTCGGGTGCAAGTAGCTTCCTTTTCACCGTCTCCCAAAAGGCGATCGTCACACGATGCTTTCTGGGATGCTTGCCATTGGTCGGGAGACCTTGGGCACAGCAAGAAGCAGGAAGCGATGTGCGCTCATGCCCCATGAAAGCGCGCCCTGGGCTGAGATGTCTCGCTCTCGCTCTGAAATGAAAGAACAAGCGAGTGTTGCTAACCTCGTGCAGAAACAGCCCTGAAGCTGCAACTTACACCAAGCTGACTGCTCCCCACATCCTTGAATCCACATATGTCGGACCCAAACCTCAGCCTGACAGCTGATCAGACCCTTTTCCAATCTAGTCTGTTTAACTCCAATTCCGGATACATACATGCATGTCAATGTGGAGCTGTTCAAAGGCGGCATGTCTCCTACCTTCGAGGCCGGGCAGCGAACCGCTTGAGCGTTCTGAGGTCCCGGAACCAGGAGAAGTTGGCCTATGCTGAAGCAGAGCTTTCGGATGCAGCCAGCCTCTCTGGCAAAAGGACGCAGGACGCATCCCAGAGCTGAGTGTCGAAATGGTGCGACCTTCACATCGAAGGTATGTTAGATATTCCGTTGGGTCCCTTTGAACCAAGATGAAAAGTGTGGCCTCAACAAGACTACACCCGAGTGGATTCCAGGCGGTTTGAAATCCCTTTTTCGTTTGGGTTTGGAGGCGAGAGTTGGGGTTGCTGGTTGCAACTGGGGACCTGTGGGCATGAATGAACGCGTCGATCAAGATCCTGGTATAGCATGAGACCGAAACATACCGAAACCACTGGATTCATGTCTGCGAGGCCTATGTACACTCACTCAGGCTGTACCTTGACATCAACGTCTGGATCAATGGCTAAATCACAAGGGTACGACATCAGTATTCTAGTACTCCGTAGGTGTGATACTTCCGGGACGCAGACCTGGAGTATGATCTCAACAACGAATTCGATTCTGTTTGTTTCGGGATGGGGAGAAAGCAGTAGAAGTATTGGTTGGATATTAAAAAGGGGAGGGAGGATGAGGCAGGGGTATATTGATCTTTGGAGACACCCTAGGGGGCACTAGTCGAAAGGCAAGCCGTCCAAGAAAAACGCCCGGGGATAGCATTCCAAACTTGGGGTAACATGTCTTCCCCTTCCAAATGAATTGCTGTTGGGTGAAAGCAGTTTCAACAAGCAAAAAAAAACACACAATTCGGTGGGATGACTGTTGCATCTAAGTCAACGGATGTTTCTTCTAACACCAATTCACATGTTGGTGTCATCTCCTTTACCCAAAAAGGCTGCCATCTCCCCTCCTCTCCGCGTTGCCATGGCACCCACCAGAAACGCCCCGTTTCAAGGAAACTAGTCCTTCAGCACCCCTCGGTCAGGCTCCATGTTACTTGGCTCCCAGCCATCTTTGTAGATTTTTTCGCTTTTCAGTTTGGTTTGGTGGTTGGCTGAAACCATTTAACCCACAAGTTCAGTGCACTTCTAGCAGATCTGAAAATGGTTTGGTTGGGTTTCCATTTAACCCACAAGTTCTTCACTAGCAGATCTGCAAAACGGACGGATGGTCACGATGGGAGAGTCGCGATCCGAGGAGCAGCTGCAGGGCAACCGAAGGGCGCTGCTGGGAGCGCTGCACGGCCTTGCCCAGGCGAGCGCGTTGGGGGGGGTGACCGACAGCTCACACCGCCCGGTCTGACTGAAGGGGACCTCCCCCAAACACCGCCCCCCCCCCCCCCCCAAACACCCCCGCAAACAAGAAACAAAAACAACGGAAGAACACACACACACACAAAAAAAAAAACCTTGAAAACATCACCACAGCAGACCTGGTTGTTGTTGTCTTTTTTGTTTGTTGTTGTTGTACCCTAGTAATCGCAGTACTATTTTTGACCTTGGAGCCTTTCAAGGGGCCTCTTAAGCCTTGAAAACGTCCCATGTACATGGGACCCACAACAGAAGGTCCCGAATGATTCTTGCGGCTTAGTCGGAGTCCATGCGAAAGACTCAGAGTAGCCGTGGAACCTGACTGGGGCCCGGCACGACGATTCATGGCCTTTAAATGGGACAAACTGGTGGGTGCATCATGTTTAGTGGGCAGGAGGGTAAGCCATCATTTCCGGAGCTTCAAGTTTTAAGATGCACCAAACAAAAGTCAGTTTTTGTTTGACCACTAAAATTGGTGTTCGGCACGAACAACGTCCGGGTCATTGGCTGCGACCGGGGAAGCCACAACCATGCGCGGTAACCTTTGGCTTCCCTACTTAAAGACAAACCCATTCAAAAGATATCCACTGCTTTGAGCCCATATAGCTGAATAAAACCAGTGGAAGGAAAAGCAGTTGACTCATTTGAAGTTTTGAAGTCCTTTTAAAAGGGGACCAAAAGCGCCAATGCAAATATGAAAGCAGGCTTTGAACATGTGTACCATGATAGCAGACCTGCTTGACGTTCCTAGGGATGTTTACCAAGCTCAGAATCGGAATGTAGACAGGCATTTTGAGGGTTCCTATCAAGGGAGTTATGACCATGGCACACATACTGAATTTTGACCATGGTGCCAAGTTTCAGATTGTTTAAAGTGGTGGTGACTTGATTTGACCACAACCAGAATACAGGGAACAAATAAATAATTATATATCTATATATGTACAAAAATAGGATACGCATTTTGTTCCACACATATGGGTGTGTCGTTTTTTGAGATTAGTTTCTGGGGCACCCCATATACCCATTGCCTCAAAGCCGCCCGGCTCAGCAATGGGCTTAGGGTGCCTGCTGCGGCTGGCTGGTCTCTGCCGGTGCGGCGCCGTGGCTGAAAGTTCCAAACGTTTGGCGCGACTGTGGATGGTTGCGAATTCCATTTGAGCGGCGTCCAAAACCTCCGTGTACATGTTTAGTAAGAGTCATGTCATATCGACCAGCGCGTAAGGAAAAACTCCACGCGCGTAAGGTGACGCAAGCTGGTGGCGTAAGCAGCATGATACGACATGGCAAATCATGACGCATTTGGGACTAAAATAGGTAGCCAAAATGGAACCCTGGTAAATGGAACCAAGGACCACCACTAAAAGACTGCAGGTTTGTGGTTCCATTAACAACAGGGCAGCCCAGTTTGGGTGCCGATCTTTCACCAGGCATACGTGCTACTGTGGATGGTTGCAAAATCCAGAATCACTCACGAAATGAAACCATGGTTGACACCATTGTCTGTCATTTGCAAGGGCATCATCGGAAACCAGGGTTTCTGAATGGTGGTGCGAAATGGATTTCGTCCATCCACAGTATGATACGCATGACAGGGTGTCCTCCATTTCCCTTCTCAAGTGGCAGATTCAATGGCAGCCACCGGTTATTTCATCAGCAAATCCCGGTGACCCTAGTCTGATGTCAGCCCTGACTGCGAAAGGAGGTATTTTCCCGCGGAAGACCTGGGTTCTTCCTTAAAAAAATGGGGATCAGGGAAACCAAAAGGACAGCTGAAGGGGTCCAGAAAGCAAAGAAACACTCCCAAGGCCAAAAACCAATGAGTTATCGTGTGTTGATGCCATGTCATGAGATCATCATATATCATCGTTTACTTGATGCCACAGTGTATTTTTTATTAGAATCATTCACTGGGGATATTGCATGTCTACAGTGCAAACGTAGATGGCACAATTTGCCCATATTGTACTTTCACCCTGCTGTACTTTAGTTGGGACTTGGATTGTCTGGCAAACTTGTGGCGGGCCCCCATTTGGAGGATCCCTACAGGGCGATTTCGACGGGATCTACGAGTATATAACTGCGATTGGCACTTCTCCGTCCCTGCAGGGAGGGAGTGGTGGGGCAGCGGAACATTGCATCCACGTGGGCGTGCCGTGCCTTTCTTTTGAGGGTACCTTTGCATGGTTGGTTTTAAGGGAAAACCACAAGAAAAACATGATTTTGGGGGTCCCCTCGCAAAGACACACCCATGTGGCCCATGTGTGTTTTCTCGTCTGGCCTGGCCTTTCATGAAAATGCAGATGAATAGTCTCACTCCAAGCAGGTTCGCGAGTCTGGGCACTTCTAGTGACCTCACCAACTGCTGGCTGGTTACCTCACCCATGATGAAGGTTCCTTACCTGAAAGAGTTCTTTTTTCAGGTGTGTGGGTTTATTTTACTTGAGTCGCCTCCTTGCTGAGGTGGTGTGCAGAGCTCTACAGACCGCATCTGCTGCGGCGTGGCATAATTTGGGCCATCCATGTGATTGCAGATGCCATGTGCTTGTTTGTGCTTGTTAGTGCTTGTTTGTGCTTGGACGTGATACAGGGGTGGATGCATGGCGTTTCACGATGTTGCACGGATATTGTCGTGTTGCGCACTCTAAGTGAGAATTGGAGGCGCAGGATGGCTGGGATGGTCTGAAAGTGGCCGAATATGATCTTTCGCTTCCCCCACAATATTTTTTGGCACATTTGATTCGCATCGGGCAGTGCTGCTGGCGAAGGATGGCCTAGGTGTTTATGTGCTACTTTCCGAGTAGGCGAAACATTATTCCCGAGCCCAGCCCAGCCCAGCCCACCCCACCCCCACTCCAACTTGCCTGAGTTGCAAGTGGCATTCCGGAGCCCACTTCGAGAAGCACGCCGCTGACCATTGGCCAAAAGCTTGTCTCATCAAACCTTGAGACGGGGGGGGGTGATTGGGGTGGATGCTTAGGAATTGGTTGGGTTGGATGCTGGGTTTGGGCGGCCTTTTGGGTGGGTGCAGATCCAAGCAACCCACCATTTTGTGCATGGCCATTTCCTTTCTCGCGCAGGCTGAAGAACCCGAGCCGCCAGAGCCAGGCGACGCCTCTAGATTAGTTGGACCCGCGCAAAAGTTATAAGGGAGACTAGCAATGGCATGATTTGCACCACTCACTCCCTGAGTTCATGCACTTATGCGCGTTTTGGGTTTGGACCAGTTTAGTGGCACACAAAAGTTCGGACTATATTTTGGGCCATCCACTCAGGAAATGAGACCATGGTACAGGTTTTGTGACCAATGGATTTGTGTCACTTTTGTGGCCATGGCAAACTGCTACGAATATGTAGTCTTCACTTGCGCAGGTTGGTCCGGATCAACCACCTCACCTTAATCCGGGGACCCGGTTCCCTCCTTTAAAAAGCTCTGTGAGAGTGGCAAGGGGGGGAGGTACTTAGTGCCGATTAGTTACGGGAAACTGGACACGTCAAGGATAGCCAACAGATTTCAAGGCTAGCCAATGAGAACATGCCCATAATATGCAGCAACGTTGTCCAGGTCAATATCCCCCGACCTAAGATGGACAAACATGTAGACAAGCAGTACAGCACCGTGACTCTGAACAGCACTGGGCCAGCAAGATACGGTACTAAACCGCACCATGATCAAACCCAGCATTAAACATGACCGGACGACATTGCAAGCCCCGCTTCTAACCCCCACCCATTTGTTTGGGGGGGCCTGTGGGTGAGCCTCTTCGCTTGATGGCTTTGGTGCCTTCCTGAGGTTCCGGCTCCTTGCATGGCCAGCTTGAGAGCTTCGGCTCACTTCAGACATGGCATGTCTGCAGAATTGGGGCAGCCACAACGCTTCTTTTTTAAGTACCCAGAAAAAGGCACCAACTGCCAACATCGACAGGAACGCCCCTGTCTATACAACATTTGTTTTGAGGCCCCCGTTGCGGAAAAACACCAAGCGCCCCCCAAACAGGGTGGAGGAAATGGGGTTATGTACAGGATTCTTGTATGTTTTCAAAGGTTCAGAGAGGCCGTGTTTCCCTGTTTTGCTTGCTCTCTAGAAGCCTGTTATTGGCAGATGTCTTGTCTCAGTGTTTGCCAACAATGGCTATGGGGGTATCAACCACTTATCAATTCTTTGTCCATGAGCCCCGAATCGCCACCAGGAACCCCTTTTGTTCCACCCGGATCGATCCCTCCCGACGTTCTGCCCAGGGCCTCCGGGTGTAATGGTGCTGCCCCAAAGTCTGGCGCAAGAGGATTTGGAGCCGCCCGCAGCCAAGACATTCACTTCCCGCAGTTGGGGGAAAAACTGGAAGAATCCTTTGGAGGTCTTGAGAAAAACAAGGGGGGGTTTCTACTGTGGATGGACAAAATCCTGCACCACTTTGAAGCCGTGACAAACCATTGTTTGTTGGCATTTACAGGGGATCCATTATTTCAGGGTTTCTTAAGTGGTGCGAAATGGATTTCGTCCATCCACAGTAGCAGTTTTCATTGGTATGCTTCCTCAAGCCGTACCCGACTTTTGAATGGATTGCCCAAGCAAGTCCAAGCTGTTTGCTGCCACTCACATGATCTGCCCAAAAGGACATAAAACCCTGCAACTCAGAGGCAAATATGTGTTTGTCTCAAAATGTTCCCCAAACTGGTCGTTTCCCTTTGGTTTCCCACGTGCCAGCCCATTGACTTCAACGAGTGCCTGCGAAAACTTATTGAAACCAGAAACAAGAAGTCATTTTGCAACAACATATCAGGAGCGTCGCATTGCACTTCCAACCAAATGCAGTTTGATTGAACATAGAATGGATTCCACAGGTTTCAGTTTGATTCCAATCATTGCCCAGTCAAATCCGTCATTTGTTTCAAACGGACCCCCGGACAAGTGCTTTCACGCATAGCAGTATACTTCGCAGGTGACTTAACCAGGGTCCACCATGGTGTAATGATATAAAACCCAGCGGTAGGAAACCTAGGCGACTAGGAGCCTGGAAGAGCCGGAGAGCTCTGCAGGAACCAGTCGCATCGGACCCTGGGGGCCGTTTGCTTAAAACGCCTCTGAGCAGCTCGAACCTTGTGGAACAGCAAGACTTGTCTTTCTTTCGTTTTGGGATTTGTTTTACTTGTTTTTCTGCAGGCGCTTTGGGAAGGTTGTGATGTTCATTTGTCCCTTGCATGTTGGGGATTGACTTGTTTTTGTGCGGGCGTTTTGGGAAGGTTGTGATGTTCATTGCAGTTTGGGATTGGCTTGTTTTTTTGCGGGCGTTTTGGCAAGGTTGTGATGTTCATTTGTCCCTTGCATTTTGGGGATTGACTTGTTTTCTGCAGGCGCTTTGGGAAGGTTGTGATGTTCACCTATCCGTTGCAACTGCCCTGAGCTAACTCTCGGTGGGTTGTTGCATAGATGATAGGTGTGAGGGAATGGCTGTCTGGGTTTCTCGAGATTTGGCCTGTCGAACTCTGAGATCCTTGGTTTCTCCGGCCCCATCCATAAGCTGGGCTGAGGCCAAGGTTCGACCCCGAGTTCGCCTTCAAAGAGTCCGAGTGTGGAGCCTGGGCGTGCCTGACAGAGCGAATGTGATGCCGACCCAATTAGCAACTGCTTCCGTCTTGGGGAATCCAATTTTTGGGCCATGAAAGCATGCTAGGAAAGGAGGTCGGACTGCAGGTGGGTATATTTTTCAGTTTGGTATGGTGATTCCTGTACATCAAGAAACTTCAGCACAAAGTACGGGACCACGACGACACATCATTCCGGGCCAACGTTTCGATGGGAGCCAGTTTGTGCTTCAATGCCAAGTCCGATGCTTCAGGGAGCTTTCTGGACACTGCCAGAGCGTCTAATTTTATCTCAAGAGCAGAGGAAAGTTGCCCTTTTGCGTCCTTCACGTGCTGTCTCTCCACTCTCTCACACCTGCAGCTTGCTTTTGTTGACCTGCTCGTTTTCCAGTCAGTATTTTTGTTTGCACAGCTTCACTGCTGGTTTGTCGAATATATTGTACTTTTACAGGCTAGTTAAGCATAAATGGTGTCTCCTTGGAAACCAACATTTCGAAGGAGACCAGGCGATTATATATTACATTTGCCTCCCTTGCCATATTGTACATGGCTGGTTATGCTGGTTGTTGGGTTGTGTGTGTGTGTTTGTTTTTTTGAGGCAACTGGTTGGTCGCTCTGCTTGTTTCAGGACAATGGAAGGCCGACTCGCAACGCTAGGTTGAGATATCATGAGACCTTCTAGCTGGCTCCTGTGCAATTGGTTGCTCCAATACGTTCTTGGCTGCAGATCCGAATGGAACCCGAACAGTATATCATTGGCTCCTTGCGTTTTGTGTCCACTGGCGAGAGAGAAATGAGACTTTGATGCTTGTAGAAGTGTTGTGCCATCCAGGGATGGGATTTGTTTCTCGTTGTGCTGCTCTTCACTATTCACTAGTAGAAAGGCCTTCTTGAGCAAAGCCAAAAGGTGAGCAGTAGTGAGGTGTGTGGTCTTTGTACAGTTGTTTCTTTTGCACTGGATCACTGAAGCCGCACTTTCGGCACTTCGGAAAAATGGAAGCCTCACCATCGCCATCCATCCTATGGAGTCTTAGATTTTTATCCATGCGCCCGGATGAAGGTTTCACAACTGGCCCTGTCGTACGATGCTCCGGTAGGTTTTCGCGCGAGATCTTCGAAGTTGAGCCAGTGGAATCTTCGGCGGCCAGGAATCCCAGCTCAGCTCCCAATCGAATCTTGCTGGTGCAGGTAGGGAATGACGTCCGGGTTTCGGGAATGAACCGGAAGGGGATTACCTTGAAGGAAACCATAGGAGATGGTTTTTCTCGGGATCATTCCCTCGTTCCCTGCTGAGAACCAGCAAGTAATGGCGGCCTGTTTGTCCAGCCCAGACGTTATTGGAGTTGCATTGAGGACCATGCCCATACCGGCTTGTGGAGAGGGAGTCAAAAGGCTGGAAAGCACAATCCAGAAACTGAACATCAATTTGACTTGTTTCAGGACGAATCAAGTTGACAAAAACATACTGGGAACTAGAGGTGGGCATTCTGATGGGTGATGTCAGGGTGTTTGTTGCAGTTGAGCCCTTGTAAAGGCCACCCTAGTGGATCGGTCGATTGGTTGGTTAGGTCAGACCTTTTGGACAGGTTCAGTTGTCGATTGCTCCATGGGGGTTGGCTGAGTTCAGTCGTTGGGCTTGCGTTAGTTTAGCAATCGGTGAAACTGGCCGACCTGGATTACAACATGTCGCAGGGTTCGTGCGAGGGCTAGGCACACAAAACGCAGCAAATCGCGATGTCAATGGGCAGAATTGCTGCACACACGCACATGTTTGGAGATGTGTCTCCCCTTTATGGCTATTTGGTTAGATCTTTGGACTTAATTTTTTGGGAAACAGTGGATTTTCTGTTGGACCCACCAAAAATTTTGTTTGTTGCAGAGGGGGTCAACAGCAATCAAGTCCCGTTGTGCCTTTTCAGGGCAATGGTAGGCAAGAATATGATCCAAAGTGTGGCCATGAAAGCAATCCCATTTCAAAGGGTTAGCAGTTCGGTTCCTGTCCAATTGAGCCTTTTTTATCAACATGGCAAAATGTTGATGTTGTACACATTCAACGTGAGAAAGCTCAGTTTGCGACCTAATGTTGCAGATCCATTTGTTTAAAAGTTAGGTTCCATCAACTTTGAGCTTGGAGAGCCTTCTACTGAACGGGTGGCAACGGAAGGGATACGTCCAACTCCGAGGTGTTCGACTCGGATTCCCTGACGCAGCGCCCGCTGGCTCGTTTGACACAAGTGAGTTGCGAGGGTTCAGCGTGATATCAACCCATTGCCATTGGGTCGGATCTTGAAACTTCAACTTTTCTGAAGACCGAGGGTTTTCCATCAAACCCACAAAAAGGAACACTTTTTGCATCGGGGTCAACAGCAACCAAGGTATGTGGTCAAACAGGGGAATCCTGCCCTATCGCCAACTAACATGGAACCTGACAGGGACTCGGGGACTCGGTCTCTTTAAAAGGGAAACTGGCCCAAACCAGGAACCCCCGACCGTCAGGTTACGCGTTAATTGGTGGGAGGGTCCAAATTGGGAATCCTAATACAAAACAGGATCCCCTTCAAAGGCAACATGGAACGGAGTTGCCCCAAGTGCTCTCTGTTTGGCAACTATCGATCCACATATCGATCCATATTCAACTAGAGCGAGGTTCAACGAAGTGCAGAATGCCGCTGCATGCACACTGCAATGTATTGCAAGTAGAATGCATTGAACGTTGAACATACACAATATGTGCAGTGTTTACGGCCAAGCTTGAATTCGTATCTTCCATGAGGGATGTTGAACCATGGACCGTGGCACGGAAAAATGAATCGAGCCATAGCCCAATTAGTTTGTCGCAGCGTCTCGTGGGGAAGGCACCATGGGCAGTCTCACTTGTCAACTTGCCCCCCCCCCCCAACCTGGTTCGGGTACGCCGAATCTCCGAAGAGTGGACTCTGAGGCCGAATTGGACTGGTTTCGATGGCCAAGTGGACTCACCCATGGGAAGATGATTGATGGCTCTTCAGCTGGCTGTTGTTGTTTTTTTGTTGGGATGGGCAAATGAGAAACTGATGCCCACCCCGTCCCGTTTAAATGTTTTGACAAGTGAGGAATCCCCAAAATGGGTGGCTTTGCTTTCAGTGGTAATTCAAAACACACAAAAGGCTGGTGCAGACAGAAAAGTCAAATGTACCAGGCCTACGTAGAAGAAGTATTTGGGTAATACAATATGACCTGAACTGAGAATCCTTTGGTGGACATGCTGATGTATGTAAACCCACCCGAGTTCCAAGCACAAGCTAGTCGACTTGTTTATGTCCAAAGGCCGGATCGAACCTCCAGGTGTAGCTGGATTTGATTGAATATATCGTTCCCAACCTGTGCATTCCGCATTGTGGCGCTGCAGCCACCACGCATTGTTGCAGTGCCATTTTCCTGTATCTGCATGTTTATTGGTTTCCCCGGCATGAACCGCTCGGAGGCAGTCAATGCGTGGATTCCCTTTCCATCCTTCCCTTTCTGTTGGTACCCCTGCTACTCCAGCATTCGCCTGGGCCGACAATCCAGAACCTTGAGTTTCTGAAAGGGTGCCAGTGATTTCCCCACCAATCATGGTTGTGCTTTTGTTGTTGGGGAGCCCTTTTGGTTGGTTTTCAGGGCAATCCAACCTTTTAAGAAGAAACCACCCACATGAACGCGCCCCCTCTTGTTTCAGCCGGTTTTTCGTCGTGGCGGCCTTTCCAGCGGCGCCTCGGTCTGAAGGTTCGATTGCCAGGTTGTCAGTGAGGCAGCTCAGGAAGCGCATCCGCGAGCCTGGCGCCTCAGCCCCACCCCGGGGGAAGGTTAGGTTTTGGAGCCTTCCGAAGATGTTATGATGAAGGGGCTTCCGGGGCCGAGGCGAATTAATGTGTGCTGCCATTCGGCAGCTGGGGTTGGGATAGGTTGAACACTAAGCAATAAATGAAAGGCAAATGTTGGCTCCTTAGTTGGACTTGGAGGCTATAGCCCAAAGAAAGGAATCATAACCTGAAGCCTGAACCTTAAGTGGTTGGGAAAATGGCTCGAAGCAATCCATGTGGCGATGGCGCGTTTCGGGACCCGAACGCTCGCTTGTCCCAAACCGGCACCTTGAAGACCCGTCGTCAGATACACATCCCCCCTCCTCACCCCCCTTGTTTTTCTTGTCAGGACTGCAAGCGCCCTCTTTTGGATGGCGGTTGGAAAGGCTCTTACATGGCCCAAGCACCCACATGCTTTTGGAGACATGGTTGCTGCGGTTTTGGCAGAAACGCAAGCGACTAAGACATGACCCTTGCCGGCATCTGAAATCGCAAGTTGGGAGATGCCGCATGTACGATGGGCCTGTGCTGAGGCGAGGCTTGTCCGACAATGGCCTGGTGGAAAAGTCTGAGTTGGTCGACTTGCTAAGGCCTTTCGGCTCGCTTTCGTTTTGCACTCTGGGGAGCTTTAAGCAGAATCAGACAAGAGTCGGTCAAAGAGAGGCCCTGTTCCATTCCGTCAAGGGAAGGCAAGGCGTCGGAGTAAGACCCTTCCCTTTCGAACCCTCAAAACGGAGCACGCGATCGAAGTATCATTTCGCTAGCCCTTATTCATGTGCCGCTTAAACAGGAGTGCCGCCCATTTCGACTGCAGGTTCCTTGCTCAAGGAATGACAAGCAACGCAGTTGGTGCCGTGCAGGGAATGCCGGGGGGCCTGCAAGTTCGAATGTAGTTGTTGTTGCTTTCAGTGTTCATTTTTGATGCGAGCCAGGCGCACAGAGTTTACCGGGCGCGCAGAGGGCACCGAGCATGCCGAGGTGGGGAGTCGTCAGCTACACTTGTACACAGTTGCTCAAGTGCATCTTCAACATCCTTTCCAGGGTTAGCTCCAGCAAAGCACGGTTAGCTCGCTGGGCAGCTGGTTCCCCAGAATGGCGGTTTCTGTTCTGAAACAGACGTGTGTTGGCTTGTTTCTGCACCTGGCTTTGCGGCTCAGGAAGCCAGGGAAGTGTGTCAAAAGAAGCAAGAAAGGACTGCAACAAGCATGCCAGACTTTGCAAGCGCCATTGAGACACACAGGTAGAGAGAGGGGGAGAAGGCAAACAACAAAGTCCACTTGAGCCAGCCATTTGTTTACATGTGCTGGGTTTGTCTCAAACTAGATGCCCCCCAAAAGTTCTTTGGTTTCCTTTTGGTTTGCTGTTAAACCAAACCAAACTGGGCCCCAAAGCAAAACACACCGGCGCAAAAAAGGCCCGCTCTTGCGCTTGCACGGCTCCGCCCACAAGTGGCGAATCGAATCGCGGTTTAAAAGCCGCGATGCACCTGCACCGGTCTCATGCCCCGATGCGCATGGAGCTACTGGCGCCCCGGCTTGGAGTCCAGATGCGATTCGATGCCAAGTGGAACTGCAGGGAGAGGAGCTGCCATTGAAGCAGATGTTATATGATCTTTCCCCATTGGTTTTATCTATCCCTAATGGAGATTGTTGTTCTTAAGCAAATGGAAGGAAGGGGTTGACTTTGAAACGCTCGAAGGAGATGGTGCCCTCCCGCCCCCCCCCCCCCCCCCCCCGGTGGCTGGGGCTTTAGGATTCTGCAGGTTCGTTTAAGGGAAGTGGTGAAGGCAAAGTCAACATATTTCCCTGGCTTTACCTTTACTTAAAGGCTGACTCTTTGGAACCCTCGTTCACCATGTTTAAGCATCAATTCATGGTTAAGTGAAGCGAAACGGTGATGACTTGTCGTGTAACCCCAAGCAAACGGTGGGAAGCTACTATGGTCCAGGTCTGGAAAACTATAGCGTCGATCCCTTTGTTGCCTCAAGGTTCCCTCAAGTGAGGAGCCAAGCAAAGGCTGAAGACTGAGGACACAAAGCCGACTTTGCATGCATGGACTCTTGGAACGTGTTGTTGTTTCTTTTCTTTTTGTTGCGCGAGAGGCAGCATGAGTCACCAGGAGGTTTCATCCCTTATTGTGACCCCAGGCCCATGCAGTGTCCATTGATAGTTGGATCATGTTGGAGCGATCACCAGCCAAGAGTTTTCCACTTCTGACATCTAAGACCCCCTAGCCCAGGTTCAGAATCCTTTGATCAGAGGCCAGAAGTTTCCTTTGGAACCTGTCCTGGTTTGGAGGCTTTGACTTTCCCAATAAGATGTTTGCCTCATAGTCAAAACCCCAGAATGGTTGCTTTCCTTTTTCAGTTCTGCCTTAAAGCAACCGGCAAACGGGTACCCTGAAACAGGACACTACTGGAAATCCTTCACCAAGACACCCCCCACACCCCCAAATACCCCTCACAACCCCGAATAAGAAAGACAAACAAGCACAAGGGTCCTTGTTACCTTGGCAAAAAGGTGGTTTCCCTTACAGCCAACCCCGAAACACGGGTCCTTGTTTTAAGTGCCGAGGCGCAGCAGTCGAACCGCCGGCAGCTGGTGGAGGCTTGGGATGAGTTGCGCCAAGCTGCGGGGTCTCCTTGGGTGATTCTCAACATGTGGGATGACAAATAGGCGGATTCCTTTTGCTCCACTTTTAAGACGATCCAAAAGGAGGGTCCAGTTTGAGAAACACCCGGATGGCCCCACATCATGTTACACCGGTTCATTAAAGGATGGACCAGGACAAATCATAAACTTGGCTGGCAGTTGGTCGTGTCTTTCTTTGCGTACTCGGGGTGGCGTTCCGGGGAAGCCTCGCATGTATGGGCGAATCGGAGACGTCCCCCTTCGTTACAGCTTCTGGTCCTACGTGGAGAGCTCGCAGATTGAAGACCACCTCCGGCTGGTGTAAACTAAGTTGGAGCCAAGAATCCCTGGCCGGGCCAAAAGCAATACAACTTTTTAAGGCGAGAATGGCGCTGAAACCAACGCCATGTCCACGCTTCCATCGCAGGTCTGGGACAAGAACAAGAGTGGAGTGCCCACCTTGCAGATGCTGGCGCTAAGGAGCCGAAGCGCCAAGAAACACCAGCGGGCTCACTTTTGACCACCAGTCGCTGTGGGTTTCTTTGGCGAAGTCTCAGAAAGACAATTCCGAAGTTGGCGACATCTCATTTCTTCGCCCAACTTGGATGGGTTACCCTCCCATGCATCAACATGCTGACGGACCGTGTTATCCCCCTTCGTCAGCGCGGGGGCTGCCGGGGGGCGGGGGGGGGGGGGGCGGGGGGGGCTGCTTCGAGCTTCGGGCCATGGCTGCCAGCGACATGATGCGAAGTCTTTCTTGATCGGGCTCCGAGCTTGATGCTGTACACCGGGATCTTCACTATAGTGTTGGCATTCTTGGCTTTGGCTGGGTGCCTTTTGCCATTTCAACATTTTGGGCGAACAGGCTTGTGTTCGTGAAAGAAATGGGCTGACAAGGCGCGGTTTCGCCATTTCTCTTGCAACCATTTGGCTGGCGTGTGGTGTGTGAAACACCGAAGCCGTCCCCCATGGAATCTTGCGAGTTCAGAGGGGGAATTGATGCCACTTGGGCAAACGTCCAGAGTTTCTTGTCAAAGGCTTCGCTGTCCAGACGGTCCAATGGCAAAGCGAAAGTGGCGCAATGGCAGTGGTGCTCGGAACAGGTTGAATCGCACGATATCTTTGCCCTGACTAGCAATAGCGTTGACCAAAGCCCAGGACGGAAGCCACCGAGTGAAGTGCCAGGGAGGCTGCGCAGCTGTGTTTGAACTTTTCTTGCGTTTGATCTGATATGTTCTTGTAAACCTCTTGCGGATGTTGTGTAAGACGTTCTTACAGATGGTGTGCTTCATGTATGAAAAAGAAGCACGTGTCTAGAGTAGGGCGTGGACCATGTTTACCGAGTCCCACGCCTGCAATTGGAGGGTTTTAAACATTTCACTTTCGCCGGCCAGGTCCGCCGGCATAAACATGCAATTTTACAGGGTGGTCTGGACAACCATGTTCCTTTTAAAGGGAATCTTTGGGTTTCATTTCAGTGGACAGGAGGGTAGGAGCCAGTTGCATTCACATGTGTCGCTTGGAAACCGTGGTCTGAGGAGATGCGCTCAGAACTGTTTGCTGAACCCTGACTTTGCCATCGAGGCTGCTGAGCGAATGCCACTGGCGTTGTGGCTCAGCTGAAGAGGTCTGGACGAAACTGGCCCGACATGATTGTTTTTGTTTTGTCTTTTTTTTCTTTGTGCGTGTTGGCTTGCTGGCCTGCTTCTTTGATTACTCCTTTGTTTGCTGGCCCGCTTGCCTGCTTGCCTGCTTGTTTGCGTGTCTTTAACACTTGGGTTTCGATGGGCTCCCTCAGCATGTTGCTGGGTAAGAAGCAGGCTTGTATGATAATGTAGATACCGGACATGTAGCTCCGAGGTAAGTCTGCTTGAATTCAGCTATGGATGCTGTTTCTGAGCGCGTCTCTCACGCGAATAGAGGCGGGAGAAACACCAGAGACTTTGAGACACGTGCTAAGACCATACTATCTGGCTATTTGGCTTCTTGGGGAGGGAAGGCATGCAGTACTCTTTATTACCAGGGTAAACCATTAAATGTTGAGTTTAGGATTATGGGCGCACTGCTCAAGAACTTTTGTTGAGAGGGGGGGGGGGTGTCTTTTAAGGGTACCCTTTTTCGGGTTGGTAAGGGTTCCTATCAACATGGTAATAGCTTAGCCATGGACTTGCTATAACTTCGTCACAATGGGCCCTGAAAGTTTCAAGAAATGTCTGTACATGTTTAAGAGGCTCATGAGGCGTATCTTGTTTCAAGGGTTTGGGATTATCTGAATGGGAAGCCAACAGAAGACATCCTTTTTCGGGGTTTCCCTTCGCTTTACGGCAAAACTACCGTATGCTTGGCCCTAAAACCTCATGTATCCTCCACCAACATGGAATTCCCAAAAAGAAAACGTACAAGCTCTTTCTCTTTGGACAGGGTTTTACACTTTCATTTGTGGAGTGTGGAGCCCGATGTTGGACAGCTGTTTGCCGCGCTCTGTTGCCTCCAGATAGGCAAATATGTGTAGGAAGCAAATTGAGAAGATGTGAGATATTGTTTCCATCAACTTTTTAGCAAAGCACCATAGATCTTGAGCCCTTTTTTGTGTAGTGCCTGCCCGACTAGACGCAGGCTCATGTTTGGAGTTCCGCCGACTGCACCTGACTCATCATTTTTGCGCGGGCCAGGGTAGATGGTGGGCAGAGTCCAGGTGTCAAAGCCGCGTCAAAGATATTTCGTTCGAGCTTGGGTCATGGCCTGATGCAATTCTGTTCAAGCGGTGCCAGGCAAGGGTCATTTCGGCGCTTGGTGCGTTTGGAAGTCCAAGCTGGCCGCTAGGATGCTGTTGCCCTCTTTTTTTGATATGGGTTGGGGGTCACCAACCCCCGTCATTTAGCCCTCGTCGCTGTTTTGTTTGCGACTAGTAAAGACTTCACGGTGGTTTTTCTGCAAGAAGGGAGCCACGCCAACCCAGGGATGGCCACCAAGATTGTGGGGTTTTTAATACCCCACTTGGCGGGTTTCAAATGTTCAACATGCGGATGTGTCGTTTTTTTGAGGCTCGGACCCCCCATGTTGGGGTGGGTTTCATGTTGGTGTCCCTTTGAAAGCCAGCAAAAATGGGCTAGCCTCCAAAAAAAGACATTCCCTTTCGAAGCGCCGAACCTGGGAACCTGCCTCCGAAAAAGGCGGACCCATGCGAGCGGCCCAACGGGGTTTTTGCTGTCTCAGGTTCGAGGTCCTTGGGGACATGGCCAACAAGGTCTTGGCGGACTACGTGAAGAAGCCTTCCGAGCTCAAGCTGGATGGCGCCGTACCCAAGGGGAGTGCACCCCCAAAAAAGAGTTCCCAGCGACTTCCCCA